CAAAAAGAGCATTACTGTAACAAGAACAGGGTTTAGCTGATCCCTGGCTTGGGATGTACTTCCTTCCTCAGGCGGGAGGGGCCCTAACCGTCTTCCAGGCAAAAAACAACCGCACTGCATTCTCTTTCCTCTCAGACAGGAAGCAATCCATCTGCCCACTCCGTCCACTCTGGCAAGAAGTAATCTCTCTGTCCACTCCTGGAACTGTCGTTAACAAGATTTTGTTTTGGGCTTTGAGGCCTAGCTCTTATGCCAACAGATCTTAAGACTATGTAGCTGATCCCAAGGAGCATTGCAGCCAGAAGACATGCCCTTCTACTTTGACTCACTGAGCTCCTGGAAAGGTCCACACTTAGACACTGTTCCAAAAGAATGGATAATTTGCTACATTTATCTTGTGGTGAGTTATTCAAAATAGTGCATACAGCATAAGGGCACAATAAAATACATAAATGCCCCACAAGGCAACATCAAGGAAATGTATTAAATCCAAATATCAGAGCAGTATGCCTGAATTTCACACATCGCAAATGTGTGTAAACCAGAGTCTATGCATAACCAATCTTTAACCAATAGATGACACTGCACAATAGTCCATTGGCTTTGAAATATGGGATTTTGTAACTGTCAAATGTAGTCTTTCGAATTAGATCTTTAGAATTAGATATTATATGGTTACAATTACATTTTATCTATACAATGTGCATAGATTTTAACGTAATGTTAATTAAATATGTGTCCCATCCTCACCTACCAGCCACTCCCCAGCATAAATGTATCTATGTCAGCAACATGAAAATGTCTTTAAGCAGCAAAATCGAACCAGAGAGGCAGTGTCAGCAAGGCTGCACAAAGGGTGGGTGTTACAATAATTGACAACTCATGGACCCTTAAGAATAGTGGCACTGAAGCCAGGGGCAGTGTGTAATTTAGATTATTACAGTTCCCACAGAATTATTATCTTTATTATAAAATATAGATTTACTGCCTTAGGAGCTTTTGAAGCTAACGTTGAACCTTGCATGACCAGCTCATCGTATGCTTCTCCATACTCAAGCAAGAAAGACATATCAAAGCTCAAACTGCTAATACTGATGGTGAAAGAGAATATCCAGCATGACTTTAATCGCTGTTAAATTCTTTACTTGGAGAATTTTGAGTGCTCGGAGACCACTGTTCTTAATAACAAGGTCAACCTTCTCCTAGGAGCTTGTATAATGCTCAGATAGGTATACTATCCATGCAGCAGGAGAGGATATGGATAACATTTCCAGGCATTCCAATATTACAATCTACAGTGTCTTTCATATCATAATAGATTTAATAGACTTTTTATTTTGCCTTTTCTAAGCTTTCTAGTTGGATACGCCCAGAACTCCTGATAGAGAAAAAAACTACGACAACAGAGCATACTTCAGAATATTTGTTAAAACTGTCATGCCCTTGAATGAAGACTTCACACTTTTAGGTTCCATGTTCATCACTTGGTGTGTCTTTCTCTCTTTGTTTCTGTCTGAACCCTTTCAGGTCTGCACACTTTTGTATTCTTCATACAGTACTTGTAATATAATTTTGTACAAGCGCAATATTGCTTGCATGATTTTTCTTATTAAAAGGATACTCCACTGCCCAAATACAAAAAAATATATATATATTATCTTTAGTAGATATACTTTTAATGAAAACATGTATGCATTTAATTATGCATTTTTTCATCAGGGTGTATCTAAAAACAGCTTGCAAAAGCTGCAGGTCTCTGGTCAAAAGCTTTTACAACCCCTCCCATTCTATCCCAGACAACCTTTCCGTGACTGAACAATCACAGACTACCAAATGTAATTTAATGAGATGTCAGGTGCTCTGGGTAATTAAATTCACACAAAAAATATATCCAACACTTAAGAAATACAATTATGTGATGGAAAAAACACACTTATCTTCTTAGATAGTGGTAGCCCTCTCCTTTAATATGATACAAGACAACGGCAAACGTATAGGAGAAAGTGGCTGTAGATCTGCAAGTATAACAAAAGGCAAAACATAGCGTTATACTGTTATAACATAATAAAAAACACAAGATTAGAGTGCACTCAAAAGATGTCATGGAATAAATCGCAGAAAGGTGCCTCCCCTGATGGTATGGGGGGCTATAGCCAGGACGCCTTAGTCTTTGGGACCACTGCTGTAAATATGAAGAGCCGGACTCAGGATGCAGGAAAAAAAACTGCTTTATTAATCCAAGGTATAAAATGAAGTTGAGGAAGCCATATTTTGGGTGAAACATGTAGGATAACTCCTTAGCAACTTTTGTATTTTTTAAAGCTTTTTTTAGCTTCATTTTATACTTTGGATTAATAAAGCAGTTTTTTTCCTGCATCCTGAGTCCGGCTCTTCATATTTACAGCAGTGGTCCCAAAGACTAAGGCATCCTGGCTATAGCCCCCCATACCATCAGGGGAGGCACCTTTCCGCGATTTATTCCATCACATCTTGTGAGTGCACTCTAATCTTCTGTTTTTTATTATGTTATAACAGTATAACGCTATGTTTTGCCTTTTGTTATACTTGCAGATCTACAGCCACTTTCTCCTATACGTTTGCCGTTGCTCTGGGTAATTGCCTGTCACAATTTAGCACCATTGAGTCATACCAAGATTTTCTGTGTCTGTCCAATTGCAGAATTCCCAGAGAAGCTTAATGAGAAGTCTTTGCAAGGCAGGTGCTCTGTGCAATTTGTTTGCCTATTACATTTAGCTCCACTGAGCTAAACAGCCAGGAAGTAACAGGACCAATTGTCTGATTTAAACCAGTGGGGGTAACAAGATTAATCTATAAATGTGCCAAATTCTATTAAAATGTATTAAAATCTGCACTTTGTACAATGAAAAAAGAGGACACACTCTTCACTCTCAGGGATAAATATATGTTATATCATGATGGTTTGTTACCTGAATATTTCACCCCAGGATATCATGATTCATTCCATTTCATATTTCACTACATGATTGTTATATTTGACTTTATTATCCCATATGCCATAATCAATTTATATTTCACTACTAATTCACCCCATGACGAATGTGCTACAGCTGATACCATTGGCACGAGGTAATGATTTTGAAGGGTTAGTATAAAAACTCAGAATAATATACTCCATATATTGATTATTATAGCTAAGGTGTGGATTGGGTGCATATGTTCAAATTTTTCTTAATCTATATCACTTTCTCTTGATTTTTCTTTTCTTTTTTTTACATGATACCTTTTGCAAGTTCTTGCTTTTGTTATACAGGTCTTGGTGCTGTATGTTTGGAAGAAATATTGTGGACACTGATAACACAGGCTATACGTAGCTGCTTGTTTTTCTCTTTAATGTTAAGCTGCATTGTTGTGTAGCATACCTCAGAGCACCTGCCAAGAGACATCCCTCTAATTATATGGCACACATTACCATGCATTTATAATGAAAGTGTCCAATAATGCAATTACATATAAATCCAAAATAAATATATATATTTCACTGGAGTCTAGATACTCAAGAACAGAAGACTGAAAATCATTTGGTCCACGTGTGGTTGTCTAGGGGATCCCCGTGCCCTCACCTATTTAAAAACTGACATATTCTACTTTCATTTAACAACAGGGGCCTGAAAATCAATTTAGGTGTGACACATTTTGTGAGCTATAGTACTTTGTTACCTGCCAGTTCAATTCCAAAAGAAGATGAGACATCTGCATAGCTTACAATCAGTAATTAACGCACATCTTCCATGTGCCCAGGATAACACACAGTTATAGAGAGGCCCTGAGGAGTCCAAACGCAGCCTTCTTAGTTTTGCAGGGACCTTAAGTGCCACTATTATATTATTGTGTTATGTCAGAGAGACAGTTTGGGGGCTTATAGTTCAGATTATCAGACAATAAACTACTTGTTATTGATCTGATCACATTGTTAGTGTGAGGCATTGCAACCATCAGGGAAGCACTAGTATAAGGAATGGTATGTTTTATGTACATTCATTAAGCAGACATTGTTGGCACTGTAACTTCTTCATCTCATTGAAGTTATTTTAGAGTCTGGAGTCCTGTGGCACTGTCTCTCTGTCCACTAGTTAAGCGTTTTAATATTTACATTGAATGGTTAAACACTTCTGTAGAGGCTGTCTTCTTGACAACCAATAGAGGTGCTTTTTCTGCAGCAGCTGTGTCTCACTTGATCATGTGATGTTCGAACAAGGATTGGAGTCCATGCTTCCATATGAGAAGCACTTGATTAGGCGTACAATCATCTCAGCCCTAATGCTCCTCTATGAGGATCATTGGATTGGACTTACATAGAGGAAGCAATGCCTCCAAGATGGCGGTGCAGGAGGAGCAGGCTGCAGCACTAAGTGATTTTAAGCGCTAGAAAAAAAACAAGAAAAACCTTATTTTCCTCTTATTTTTTAAAGGGGAAAGGGGGCGGGCTGAATCTAAATATGCGCTTGCGTAGGATACTAGTCCACTAGGAGATACAAATTCATTTGACCATCTTGATTTTAAGACATGCCTTTGAAAATGACAATTATATTTACTGATAGATCATGTAAAGACAAATTTTATTTTCTTTGCTATATGTACTGCATTTTGTGGTGATTTATCTTTATAAGCTTTTAGTGGTTCTGTTTTACTTGCTTTTTCTTACATTTATGCATACTGATGCAATGTATCACTGCTTATATACACACAACTAAGAAAACTAAATAATAGCAGGTTGCAAATCAAAGCAATGCCTTTAACCATGTCTTTAAATTGCAGCAAAATTCAGTGTCATTTCATCTCTGGGACACTATTACTTCCCATGAATAAACGTGAGAATAATTCTCACTGTGTTCACTTGAAACCAGGTGACAGGTAGACAGGAGACGAGTGGGAAACGGTTAAACAGATAGTGGGGTTTGGGTGAGGCTTTTGTCGTAAGACTGGGTGTGAGGGGAAGTTTGAAGAAGCACAGAGAAAAAAAAAAAAAATTAAAAAATTGAGCAAGTTTCCCCACGCACCCACTAGACAATTTTATCACCCTAATTGGAATGACTTCCGCTGGTGGGTTAACAAGACCAAAATTTTAAGAAAAAGAAAAAAAACTCCTCCTCTCATCCTATTTACATTTGGAGCCAAACCAGTAATGTGGAAGGACTGGTTATATAAATGACGCGAAGTCTCAGAGGTCACAGCAGAGCTGAATAGCATTCCTTCCTAACAGGGAAACCTGCCTGAACGCTGATCCTTAGTAATCACTCTCTGAAGTGTGTAATAGGCTCTCTCCCAGAGTCTCTGCAAGTCCTCTCCAAGTGTGGAAGAGGAGGCTCAGTGTGACTGACAGCATTGCCCCAGAGAATTGAAGATCAAGGACTTCCACTGGGAATCTCCTCCAAACTCCCCTTCATAGCTTCGTCATGAATTGTTGGAGTACTAAGTCTAGTTTACTGACACTTTTCAGTAAGTATATGTACAGTTGTATTTCATTTTATAATGCTCACATGTGAATGTTAACTTTTTTTTTTTTTTTATGTATTTACTTGACAAGTTAGCTTTCATTGTAAATGTATTCTTTTCAAATGTTTTTTAATTGAACAGCTTTTGAAAAACATTTCAAACAATATATAACATAAATGTAATAATAAACAGTAGAAATATGAAGAAAATAATGTAAAAAGGAGGTGGAAAAATAATAATGAGAAGTAGAGGATTCCATCTGTAGTTAGATAGAATGTAATAAGCAAATTCAGAGAGCTACAAATAATATATTTTCAATGCTAACCTGGGTTTTATGCTTTTTTCTGTCTGATCTGAAAAAGAAATATAAGATTTGTAATTATATTTCTTGGTTATCATCTGACCTATTTGTTCATTCATAAATAATATGCTCATATGCTACCTGCATACTGTGGAGTGTGCATCAGTCTGACTTAATGTGATCTATTCACTAAACCGTTAACAAAATGACCTGCAAAATATAAGGGAAACTAGCTATATAAAAAAACAATAATTCATCAATACTTTTCATATTGTTAGTATTTTTTTTTTACTTTGAATGGTTTGTATTGGTTTTCTGTACTTTCAGTTGATTACGACAGAAAGCCCGTAATAGACTTACAGGCTTTTTCAATAAACTCCAAATATTACTGATTTCAAAATCGAATCACAACATTTAGGCATAAAATGCGGATTTTTAAACATTCTTCAACATTTCTGCAGTCACACCTTGGCTGTTTTAGCATAGGTTTTGCAATTCAGTTTTCCGTAATGTATTAAGTACAATTTGCTGTTTAGTGAGTAAACCAAAAAAGTATAATTTAGGTTAAAGGGACACTAGACGTGGTCTGGATGCACTGTCCCTGAACCCCCCTATTCCTGCAATGTAAACCATTCCAGTTTAAAGGAACTAATACTGCCTTTAGTGGCTGTCTACCAGATAGCCATTAGAGGTGCTTCATAAAGTTTCATGGAGTTTGACACTTTAAATGAGGACGTCCAGCGTCTTCGAAAACCCCATAGGAAAGCAGTGAGGCAATGCTTTCTTACGGGGAAGGCCTAATGTGTTTGCGGCACTCACCATGCATGCACATTAGGTCCCACCATCTGCTGATATCAACGGAGGAAGAGCCAGACCCAGTGCCAGGGAACCTCAGTGCTGGAATCAGTAAAGTGACTGAAAGCGGGTTTTTTTAACCTTCTCGTGGCCAATGGGAGACACAAGGTCAGTGGGACACTTTAGTGTCAGGCATGCATCTTTGTATTCCTAACACTAAAGTGTTCCTTTAATATGTTGATTAGGTATAACTTGCAGAGATTCAAACTAACATGTTGAAGTTTCAAGGTCAGTACATGCTTAATGGTAATGATCTATTACTTGCTAGTTTTAGTTCAAGCTGCTTTTAATAGCACATCATAGCAAGTCATTGGCTGTCAATTCAGTGCTACTGACACCTAACCCATTTACGGGACAAGGTTTGCCTATGATGAAATATAGTGTAAAAGGCTCATAACAAGACTGATACATCAAAGGAGGATTTACAGAGCAGTGAAATGGCGAAGACATATAAAAATGGTATTTAGCAGAGCATTCTTTTAATGAATGCTGATACATTAACTCCATATAAAAGTTTTGAAATGTTGACTCTTCCACTATTTCACCTTTTGGTAACTATTTTACACTTCAGAACCATAAAGCACTTTAGCTTGCTAAAATGTTTTATTTGTGAAGAGCGTGTCCTTTTTACTTTATAAAAAGTGTAGCATTAAGTCGAAATTGGCACTTTCATAAATTAACCATGTACCGCCTCTCTGACTTTGAAGCAGACAATAGATCATGTTACTTCCTGGTTGTTTAGCTCAGTGGAGGCAGACAATTGCACAGAGCACCAGACTTTTAAAGAATTCTGATTAAGCTGCATTGACAATCCTGTCATTGGACAGCCACATCAACACAGGGCTTGCAAAGGCTTCTGAGAAAAGCAGTTTTTAGATATAACCCCAATAAAAAAAATGCATAATTAAATGCATGCACGTTTTCATTTGGGGTATAGCTACTACACAGTGATGTATTTAATTATTTATTCATTTTATGGCGTGCCCCATAAAACATGGGAGTTATAAAACACAGTTATACATAATTAATTATTGCACAATTCTGGTATCAAGTGCAAAATGTACCACAGTCACCATGGAAACCTATAGAATATTGCCGCTCACCAGTAGAACAGTACCCCAGGATTTATGGTTATGCATGACTTCCATAAATAATGATTATTAAAAACACTTTTATAGAGTTACTTGCATTCTCTGTTATTCACATCAGACATTTACATTTCCTCAACGCTGAATTGGGCAGAGAGCATCAAAGAAGTGACAGATCTGAGGTGAAAACAGAAGAGTTATCCACTAAGGTATTTACTAGGAGTTCCTTGGTGGTAACTCAGTGGTTGAACTCATTGGGTTCCAAAGTTGCATTTCAGTAGTCTAATGCAAATTGCAGTTGTTGTCTCTCAGAGTAGCAAACTTAGATTAGATTTGAGTGCAGTGTGGTCAGTGAGCGTCTTGGGATCACACTTGGAGTAGAGCCATTGTTGCAGTCATTTATGTATTGACAAAAATTAACTGGGTGATTTGTGAATTTATAGAGTCTAGATGAACACAAGTGGAAAGAACTCAAGCTATACTAACATTACACCAATTTCTCAACATGTCCTGGGACCTATATTGTGTCTTTAAACATAAGATATTGAGAATTTGTGCAACATCTTTAACAACTGCACCTAATCATTGATGGGTTTTTAGTTACTAATAATTTTACCTGTATGATCAGGTGCAGTCGAAAAAAAATACAAAACTAGATACATCAAAAAGAATCACATGAAATAGACATAGGATATCTGAAATGTGTGAGCTGAATGCAGAATAGCGGTTAACTCAAGATTGTATGTCTTTTGTCATTGACATAGGGAAATGTATTTCCCAGCAAATTCCGAGCAATTTCGTGTAAAGGTGTCATCTTTGCTTTCTAATTATAGATATTTCTTGCACAATTTCTGCTATTCCGCATGAAACCTGTTCAAATTGCTCTTGAGCGTAATAGCATGTCTTAGTTTAGGTAGCTTTGTCTGTGTTCTCAAGATGTTCACAGCAAATTCCCACCCTATAAATCTTGAAATGTGATTCTGGTGTGTCAGTATGGGCAATGGCATTATGCTACGTTTTCAGTGTATATGTATGTGACATACATGTGTTCATCGCAAGTAATCAGATGAGTAGGCTGCAGAAGATCAGTGTTATCCACAAATGCAGTCTTTACATATCCACCCATGGCATGACAAGTGCTCTTTAAATGGACAATCTAAGCACCAAACCACCGCACTGTAATGTAGTAGTTGTGGTGCATAGATACAGTCCCTTTTCTCTACCAATGTAAAGCATAGGCATTTTTGTAAAACAGCTTGTTTAAGGGTCAGCCTGAGCACAAAGCTATTATAACATTTCCTAAAGAACACTTCACTAGTGGATAGCTAGTCAATAGCGGCACTTCCTTTGAAAATCAAAGGTTCACATTAGATGTCATTGTGCACACCATACTAACGTAGATTGTCACTAATGCTTCTTGTAGACAAGCATGGTAATTAATGCTTCTCTTTGAGAAGCATTTGATTGGTGAAATGATGTGATTGGCATGCATGCACCAAAGTGAAATATACAGAATTGATGACGAAGATCTCAGGGAAGGGAGTTTAATGCTAACAAAAAAAGGAGCACACTAAAGTTAAACACATATATTTATTTTAAAAATGTGAGTGTTCCTTTAATGTCAAAAGCAGGATTATGTATTTCGACTGAAGACACAATGGGGGTTACGTAAAACATGAAAATATGGAGCTCAATTCTAAAAGTGGTTATGCAATCAGCAGGTACATTCTGGCTTCCCTAAAGATTACTCCCTTTTAAAACTCTGGGTAATCTTTTGGAATGTTAACCTCCGAACAGTGCATGTAATAATGGGGTGTGTCGAAATATCAACTTTGAAATGACGCTTTGGTAATTTCCAAGCAATTCTATCACAGCTTGATTTATTTTCGAATCCTTCAGGGTTTTTTTTTAGACAAACTGCAAGTAGCATTATTCTAAGCCAGGTAGAAGCAATCTAAGAATGATGGTAATTGAAGTTCACAGTACTATTCATTCAAGTTAGTTAAGGTTAGAGAATAGGTTAGGATAAGAGTGGATCATTTGGTTTGGTCTAGAACTGATGCCTCATATGGTTATTTAAAGGTTAATGCTAAATATTATAGGATATGGCTGGGTAGTTTGTTCATTAAAAATGATATAGATTGCTTCTACCACCATTTGTGGGAGATTGCAGTAGTAGCTGCAGTCCTGGCCTGTAGATTGACCCAAAGTGAGCAGTAAACATGCACAATAACACGCATAGCCCATATACACACACAGACAACCCCACTAAGCGGACGTAGTACCCATACATAACACAAGCAGCAAATGGCAAGATGCACAGTCGTTAGTTTAAAGTAAAGAAGACTGTCACAGTGCTGCTAATAGATTTCCTCATCTGTCCTATTGTATTTGCTCATCATGGCAAAACATTGTATCCAATCCATATGAACAAATTTTGCGCAGATGTTGCAGCCCTTTAGTGGCTGTTAGTATGACAGTTTCTAGAGGTGTGTTTAACCTAGCTACTAGATGTGTGTTTAACACTTTAAGGTAAACACGGCTGTTAATGCAAAACAGCAATATTTTAAATTAAGAGGTTATAAGGACCAGTGAACCCACACTGCTTCATTGAGACCACTTACAGTATAATATTGTTTTACTTTTTACTTGTGTGAGCAATTGTCAAAATAGGGAGAACACTTTACTCCTTGCTTTTAAGTATAAGGTATGCCAAGAATACCAAGAACAGATATTACTTCTTGTTGAAGAATCTCCTTATACCAGCTAGGAAAAAGTGAGCATTTCCACATCTAAACAAACAAAAAGGAGTAGAACATGTTCACTGTTGCCTTGGAGCACTGCATGCTAAAAGTGTTTGCCTCTTAGCTTCAATACTTTTGTACAAGAATACAAAGGGTTGGTGAAGACACATGCACGTGCAGAAGAATATATTAATATATGTGTGTGTGTGTGTGTGTGTGTGTGTGTGTGTGTGTGTGTGTGTGTGTGTGTGTGTGTGTGTGTGTGTGTATATATATATATATATATATATATATATATAACATATATATATAACACAAACCAAGAAAGTTATGGTGGGGGGAAATAGTGAATAGTCAATACATTGTTAAACACAGATCTGCACATCAGTCAAGCCATAAGACTTGATTTTCCCACATAAATCTCAAATTTGCAGTGATGTTACTACTGCAAGGGATTCTGGGTGGGCATATGCAAATTAATTTAACAAAGAATTACATATTTTGCCTAATTTTTCAATTTTAAACATGGATTGCTTGGAGTTTGTGTTTGCTGTATTTACCAGCTTTGAAACACAACTCAGAAAGAGATGCACATATAGTGAACCACTCATGGACAGCTGTTTCGTAGTTAATGCAAGCAAGTAACCAACCAACCTCTTGCTGATGAGTTGCATTAACAACGAAACAGGTGTCCATGAGTGGTTTGCTGGCTTTGTATCGCTTCCTAAACAGCAATTTATATATATTCACCATAAATAGGCAGCATAAGTTGGAGGTCTTTTAAAGGTTATTCTGGGATCTATTTACTAAACAGAGAGAGCAGATTTGAGTTAAAACTGCACTCAATATAGTGGTTATAATGTTATAACACCCACCCTCCATTGGGGTACCTACAGACCCATAGCAAAGCCACTATCTTGCAGTGGTTTGGTAAAATCCAAGGGAAAAAAGGGCACAGCTTCTCAGCCAAGGTTGGACAGATTTGTGCATTACACTGCAGAGGGGTCTGGGGGCACAAAAAATGTTTGCCAGGAAATCAACCTACTCGTAACACCATAACTACTACATTGCGTGCCCCGTGAAATAACTTGCTAAATGAAGGTTAAAATTTCAATTTGGAAATAAATCTCCACTATCTCCACTATTTTTGCCTACATTTTTCAATTGGAGTAACATATGAAACTTGCTGTATGCAGCCTTTCCTAGCAAATATTTTTCTAATATGAATAAAAAAAATTATAATTGGTCTAACCACAACTTGATATATTGAGAGTAAAGAAATGTCTGTAATCTGATCTTTTAAATTGCAGGTAGTTAAATGCCAGGACTCAGGAGTGCCCTATGTAGCTTGAATTCCACAGTACAATAAACCAGTACAACTGACTCTAAGTAACCACAAATGGAAATCAGGCTGAATCAAGACTATTTAACCCTTTCTTAGAAATGGAAACAGATTAATGTAAGTGATTATGCTAGTTTTACAAATAGAGAAGTGTTTGAGAGTTCCGAAAGGGGATCAATCAACATAAAAGCCAATGGAATGTGGTTTTCATAGTGATTAATTATACATTTTGGCCACTTTTCTATCAGTGAAACTTTTAAAGCTCTGCCAAATGATACGTTTAATTATATGTCTGGCTATATTATCCCTATTGTGGTGAATAATGACAGCTTGTATATTTCATTGCTAACCAAACCCTTATTATGAATAAGTTAAGCCAGTTTCTGTTTTCCTTGTTCGTTTTGTTATTCACATGCCAGTAAAAATCTTTTAAATTATGATGTGACATCATTTTCTTCTATTTGGAGAATTTGCCTAAATGACAGTGAGAGAGAAAACAACAAAAAAGTGAATTTAAAACAGTATTGCAAAATTTAGGCTAGCATAGCATTTTTTTAAAAGATTCTCCAATTTACCTATGATCACAGATTGGGTATTGTAGTCTGAAATAATAAAAAGGCTGATTTTAGATCATTCCTAAGAAAACTCTAACAGGGTTATTCACTAAAGTGAAAATTCTAAATGAATTTCAAATTTAAGGCCAAAATTGCAAAACTGAAAACATTGTTGACGTAGAGATTTTTTCCAGTTCTGGCTTCTTTGACCTTAAATTTGAATTTCACTTTGAAAAATTTTACTTTAGTAATAATTATCATGTTTAATTTAAAAAAACATAATAATCCCGTTTTCATTGTGTAAGTTATATCTATGTATTTGGAGATGTTAGACCTTGGAGATTTTTTCCCCCGCGTTTTACTCTTCACCTTGGTAATATGTAAATGGTTACATTTGTTAACAGACCTACCTATGCAGTCCATCGCATGGGCTTAAAAATTAACTAATCCTGAGGCCTTTAAAATATTGCCCTTATAACCCTTAAATTCCAATACCATGGCGCGTCTTGCCAAATGTATTGTGCAAGACTGTTATTCAATCAATGATTGTCATTATATGCAAAATATTAAATACATGATCCCTTGCTGACATGTGTTATCTATGCAATAGCAATAGATTTTGGAACATATTGATCTCTCTATAAACATCTTCCATTTTACTCTAATTATGTGCAAAGTGATGACATATATATAAATATAAGAATATATAATTATCATAGTGGTAAATTGCACATTCATTGTGTTAGAATATCATTTTAGGAGATCTTACAAAGTTACTTCCTTTTCAGTGCTTGGGTTTCTACCATAATGCTAATGTATGGGAAGTGTAACTTTAAACCCCTCTTATCTTCATACCTGCTCCCCCACCCAACCTGTATTATTTTTCCTGCTTAAAAAGATTCCCCATGACAGCAAACTCCTCACCCTCGACTTGGACACAATAACTTCAGTGCCAGAACCGCATTACATCTGTTGATCTGGCAAAGGGCTAAACATGCTTTCTAGCGGACAAAGCTCAGCAACTACTCATGTGCTGTAGTCACCAGGGCCGTCTATAATATGATTAGGACCCTGGGCTATGCATTTTCTTGGGCCCCATGGGCCCTGTCCCTGCCACTGCCTCACCCCCCAATTATGCCCAACCCGCAATCACACTGACAGACGTACTGGCACATACACACACAGACAGAAATTAAAACATTCACAGATACATACTGACACACACAGTCACTACACACAAATATATACTGGCAGACATACTGACACACACACATACATACATACACAGACACATACATTAACAGATATACTGACACACACACAAACACATACACACACACACACAACACATACACTGACAGATATACTAAAACACACAGACACATACACTGACAGACACATTGACACACACACACAGGCATACTGACATACACACTGACACACACACACAGGCATACTGACATATACACAGACAGACGTAATGGCTGATACAGACAGACATTAAAACATTCACAGATATATACTGACACACACATACACTGACATACAAATATATCCTGGCAGACATACTGACACACACAAACACAGACATACATACATACATACATACATACACACACACACACACAGACACATACACTGACAGATATACTAAAACACACAGACACATACACTGACAGACACATTGACACACATGCACAGGCATACTGACACACACACTGACACACACACACAGGCATACTGACATACACAGACAGATGTAATGGCTGATACAGACAGACATTAAAACATTCACAGATATATACTGACACACACATACACTGACATACAAATGTATCCTGGCAGACATACTGACACACACATACAGACATACATACATACATACATACACACACAGACACATACACTGACAGACATACTGACTGACACACACAGACATACTTACATACACACACAGACATACTGACACACAAAGACATGCTGACACACACACAGACATACTGACATACACACAGACAGACGTACTGGCACATACAGACAGACATTAAAACATTCACAGATACATACTGACACACACATACACTGACACACAAATATATCCTGGCAGACATACTGACACACACATACACACACACACACACACAGAGACATACCTACATACACACACACAGAGACATACCTACATACACACACAGACATACCGACACACACACAGACATACTGACACACACACACACACAGACATACTGACACACACACACAGACATACACACACAGACAGACCTACTGACATACATTTAGCCACCCTCCAGGTTCTTACCTTTTCCTGGAGGGTGGTTTCCCTGGTCCAGTGGCAGGCTGAGGCAGATGGGAGTTCTCCTCTGGAACTCCCCTCCTTCCTGCCTTCCTCCTTCTGCGCGGCCATTATCTCCGGTGGGAGGTCCTCCCAGCCGGCTGCAGAACCGGAAGAGGGGCCCGGTCGCGCTGTTTAAGCGCCACAGCGCTTGACCGGGCCCCTGCTGACACATGCTCCCCGGGTGGCCCTTAGTGCATGGGCCACCCGGGGAGCCTCCTCAGTGTGCGGGAGCCGCAGCGCACGGTCCTTAGGGGCTGCGCAAATCGCGGGGCCCACAGAGCAGCTGCTCTGGGCCCCCAGGAGCAACTGGGCCCGGGGCAGCTGCCCCGTTTGCCCCGCGTTAAAGACGGCCCTGGTAGTCACTGTGACAGAACGCAGGTGAACCTAGATGAGCATTTTCCTCCTCGCTTGTTAGTTAGTTCTCAACATCGGTGGCTATTTTGTAGGTGTAGATCTATCTGCCAAGAATTGATTACATTTGCTTGCAATTCTATTACTATGATTGATAGATAAAATGGTATCATCTTTAATTAAATGCAAATGTATCTATGGCCATGTTAGGTACAGTTTAACATAGTGTGAACGCTCCCATGTGCTCATTGCAATGGCATTTATAACCAAAGTATCTTTGAAGTTTTTCTTTGTATGCATTGTGACATCAATAATTGCACGCAAAGGCTGTACAAAGTACAACTAAGGGCTCATTAAAATCTGCCCTTAGAAATATATCTTATCTGTTACAGGTAGATTCAAAGCAAGTTGGATTCCCAAGGAAAATTTCAAACCTCGTAGTTTATCATTAACCCAACACCTTTCTATTCTAAGTCAAACGTAAATGAAGCAAACAATTCTGTTTCGTCATATTTTACTTTAGTGTTGCAATATTAAATCACCTAAAATGATCGGTAATTGTTTGCAGATATAATTTTGAAGGGACATTGCAAAAGTAAAGCAATCTTATAACATCATAATAACATTTGAAAATCAAGTGGGCATTATATTTTCTTTACAGTTTTACATTATACTTTGGATCATTATACCTTTCAGTTTATACCCACTAACACTCACATTATAATCAATTTTAATACCAAGTTGATTTCCAAGGCCAAGAATAATTGGTCCTTGAAATTTGTAAAAGAACAGTGGCAATTAAATAATTAAAAATAGTGTCCCGTATTTAAAATCAAGACCTTTTCAGCATTTTATTTTTTATTCCTTGTGCATATTTTGGCAAACACCCCTTATTTCTATAGCACCATAACCTATTTCCACAAGCCGATACACCACAAGTCACAGTTTCGGTACCCACATTCTCAATCTGTACCATTTCTCCAGGACCACAAACAGTGCCTGTTTTATCTATTATCTTGAAGATGAATCGACTAATTCTGGACAATTGTTTTTTTAAAGATGCTTTGATCAGCATTATTCTGTATGATTTTCAGTGACGCAGCACATAATGAAAAGTGCTAATTATCTGTCATTTCTAATGAAAGTTCTCCATTGCCCTTAAACATTGACATAGTGTCTGCTGTTAAGAAACACAAGTCAATAGAACATTTCAGCACCTAGCAATGTCATCACTGAGTATTTGTTCATAGATCTTAGAATTATATTGAGACCCAGTGATTTTACGATTTGGCTTATCATTTTTGTTCTATAGAACTCCTTTTATTACTGTAATCCTCTGCTATTGTTATCACATTCTACATAACCACATAATTGTTTGTCGCATGACATTCCATTGCAGAATGACATTCCATTACAGAGACTGTGTTCTCCAGTGACAAAGTCTATTCTAGGTGGAGCCAGTCTATAGCTCACTTTCTGCAATATTTTTGCAAAACTCGGTATAGTAAGTTAGTTTTGTCTGTCTTAGTAAAACATGGACAACAAGCGTTAGATAGTTACAGCTTGTTCCCTTTTAAACTTGTTCTATTCTTCATGTATACGTTAAATTATACACCAAGCTGCCATTCATTATTTTGCACTGTGCAATTAACAGGGAATTCTTATTTTATTAATAATACATTAAATACTTTATCATTTTTCTCCGGTGTCAGATTTCTTTTTTTGTGTGTCAACATTTTAATAGCATGCAGTACCGTTTTATATTTTACCCTGTCTATGTCATCTGTGTAACAAGTATCATGGTTAAACCATCACGTTACCTTCTTTTTTCTTTTGTCTTGGAAGATACCCTGTAAAAGTGTCTTTATTGGTTTGTTATTAAAGACATTGATTAATTTTGATACAGGTGGTGTAATTATCATACCTACACTATTTCCACATGTTCAGCAGCTTTCCCGAGGCATTCATTCACAAGTCATATCATGTAGTAAGTTACAGAAGCATTTGTTAATCAGGGGAACATTTCTCTTGAATTTGATGTTGCCATAATGGGACATCTAGAGATTCTTTCTTATTTCTCAATGATGGTTATACATACAAGTATAGTGATTATTTGGCTCTTTTGATGTGATGAAATACTATTTTTATTTATTTTATTGTACTTTTATTAAAAAATAAGGAAGAGGTTACAAATCAAAAATGTACTTATATACGGTTTAAGTTAATCAATATCTCTCAGAAAGCTTCATCCCTATGATTTATTATATCATAATCTTCCAAAATCTATATACAAGGATGCCTTGGGCACAATTACAAATAATTGCCTTATGATTTCTTAGACGCTGTAATGTGCTGACAGGTCACCTCCATTGAAAACAGAAAACTGGGTTTGGTGTGCAATTCAGGCTCAACCTTTAACTGTCCTATTGACAAGGAGGTGATGACGCTGCATTCACTGCTACAGAGACACAAGGCAAAATCTAAAACAGAGTTCTCTAATTGTTAACTGCAGCGTTGACAGATTCCCATCATATTACACATCAACTTAAAAGAACTCTTCTTGAGATAATCCATAGAATAAATGTATCTACGTGTGTAATCCCAGATTAAAGCATAATGCAGACATTTGACTTAACTAGTTGCAAACATTTTATATTTTAGGCCATTTTAGATCATTACCATAAACAGTGTTTGCAAGCTACATTAATACAAATTATATTCATCTACTTTTTTTTATAAAAACACATTTATTTAAAAAAATATATATTTTATATGATCTGCAGAAACAATTTGGAATTTGAACAATGTATAAAACAAGTTGTAATTTTTGTTAGCACTGTTGAATGATCCAATATATGGTAACTGTGAAAAGTATACTTTAGCTAACAGTCATATGGCTGAAATAAATGTAGAAAAAGCAGAGAGTGGCTCCCAAGGTCCTGCAACCTCAAACCACAACATGATGCATATATTTCATCTTCTTAAAGTTAATGTGTACATCAATCATGGAAAGCCCAGTAATGGATGCATAGTATCCATTATTTTAAATCCTCTAGCTACTACAGAGTGTCCATCAAATAAAAATCTACTGTAGAGTAATACAAATAGACCCCTTATACACTGCAGCAGAGTATGTGCCATTTTAAACTCAGTACTTATTTAGAATGCCCCTCATCGTAAATATACTTAAAGGGACACCGTAGGCACTGTATCTGCTTCATCTCATTAAACTGATTATAGTGTATGGAGTCCCCTGGTGCCATCATTTCTATCAGCATTAAACAGTTTTTAAAGTTTTAATGTTTTAATGCTAAACAAGAGTCCCCGGCAATCCATCCCCTCTGTGCTGCTTTTGCTAATAAGGAAGTATTAGCCTGAGCAGCAATGGGCAGCTGTGATTGGCTAAGAGTGTCAGCTGACTGCTTTTAGCCTGTCAGAGTTCCAACTGACGGTATGAGTGGGTATGACAACAAGGAAGTGTGTAATCTCTGCCTTAGCTACACATACTGAAGGGGCCGGACTGAGGGTGGCCAGGGACTCCTATTTTGTGGCATACTGCACGAACATAGTGCAACACTGAATGGAGGGACAGTGCCAGGGTACTCCAGGCACTAAAACCAATTCGAAGAGATGAAATGGTTATAGTGACTACAGTGTCCCTTTAAAGGGACCATATAGTCACCAGAACAACTACAGCTTATGTAATTTGTTCTGGTGAGTAGAATCATTACCTTCAGGGTTTTTGCTGTAAACACTGTCTTTTCAGAGAAAATGCAGTGTTTACATTACAGCCTAGTGATAACTTCACTGGCTACTCCTCAGATAGCTGTTAGAGATCCTTCCTGGGTCATGGCTGCTTAAAATGCATCCAAACATTCAGTATCTCCTCCCTCTAGATGCAGACACTGAACTTTCCTCATAGAGATTCATTGATTCAATTCATCTCTATGAGGAGATGCTGATTGGCCAGGGCTGTGTTTGAATCATGCTGGCTCTGCCCCTGATCTGCCTCTTTGTCAGTCTCAGCCAATCCTATGGGGAAGCACTGTGATTGGATCAGGCCACCACTTCTGATCATGTCAGCAGACTGCTTGTTTTTTTTTAGCCAAACAGCATGCAGATCTACAGCTTCAGGCTTGACTACAGTAAGATTTTGCTATATTTATGGAGGCGTGAGGGGCCCAGGGGGGCTAGATGGAGGTTTTAACACTATAGGCTCAGGGATATATGTTTGCGTTCCTGACCCTATAGTGATCCTTTAATTGAAACATTGTACTGATTTGCGCTGAATCTTTTATATGCAACATTGTAAAATATTCCTTGGATATTATAAATTACAAGTAGGGATTTTATAAAAAGTGTATTTCTTTGTTATGTTCTCATATTCTGGCATTTTAATCACCTTCATCTAAAGTGTTTTTGATATTTTTAGGTTCAAAGGGGCACTCGAAGCACCATAACCATTGCAAAGCAATAAAGTGGTTGTGGTGCAAACAGTCTATAGGTGCATCCTCCAGTTTTTCTTTGAATCTCTTTATCCGCTTTGATAATGTGAAATTTATACTTCTAAAGCACATTATATTTGTTTGAACATGCATTTGGTCTATGGAATAGTAGGTAAGGGAAACCTTTACTTTAAATGTAATCCATAAACAAACAAACTATTGATGAATGCCTTACGCTAGTTACTATGGAGAGTATTGTTATTGCTTACAATGTGTGGAGGCAATATTTTCTTTGGGCTAAATAGATCAAGGCTCTAGCTCTCTGGATATATTTCACCAATTCAGTTTTCAAACATAGGTATACATTTTCAAGGTAATTGTAACAGCAACTCATAACAATTTGTCCCAAGTCATAATGATTGCTTACCGTAAACACATATAATTTGTTTACATAATACATACCATATTTGAATTCTACTACAAAACTAAAAGGTACCCAGGCTTCAACAAATATCAAGGCTTTAGCATTGTGGTCTGCTAGCTCAAAAGGTGCCCACTACCTTTCCATGGGGGTTTAATAAGAAAATTTAATTTAGAACAAGATTAAAGTGTGTTATAAACACAGGCAGATTTATAAGCATATTTGCTCTAATTTATAAACCTTTTACTTACACACCAAATCACTGAAAAGTGGTACATTCTGAATGTCTTTTTTTTTTTTTATTTACCTTTATAGTAATATTCACCCCAATAAATGCCTTAATAGTGTTTACTGAATTGAGGAACACGGTTCTGTCGCTCCGAGAGAAATTGCAATCCCACTTTACATATGATAAAATTTATTTTAAGCATTATATTATGGTACTATGTGGTTTAACAGTTCTCTTCAAGGAAGGAAGCAATTAAGAGTTGTAATGTGACCTCCCCCCTCCCCCCTCCCCCCTTTTAAACAACCCTTAATGGACAAGAAGGGCAATTTGTTATTTACAAAACAAGATCTCTACATAGGGAATGTGAAGAATTTCAATTGCTGAAAACAAACTTATGCATTTATTCGCCTTGCAGTCAATAACCAACAAGCTAAAACATACACCAAATAGTTTTGTGAGTTTTGTGTGGGGGAGAGGGTGGTATCAAATACATTTCGAATGACACATCGTGATATAAATTCAGAGTACTAAATTATTCATCGTTGTTTTTCATGTTACCACTAGGAGGGGCAAGCTGCTACCCTTTCTTTTGACCTTTAAAAATAAATAAATCATTTTAAACATAAATTCAAGTGTCTTATTATATTCCGTAAGGAATTATCAAATTATATGAAATAACAGAATTAGCATTGTGTATGTATTCTAGAATATTGTTGCACGTTATGCACAATCTTATAATTATTTTATTTCTTTTCAGTAGTTTTTAAATCGAATATTTCATATAATGAGGACTATATAAGATATTTTTGTTTTTGGTCGCAAAAGACAAAAATATAGAAAGAAATGTCTGTTAGACTTACTAGTTAATATATATACGTTACTTATAATATTCTTCTGTTTTTTGTGGGTTTTTTTTGTAGGGGTTGGAGTGTTCTTCTATTAATATCTTGCCGCTACATTCCATTCTACAAAATAGCTATGTTTAGGACACAACGGAATGTGGGTTTATTAAACAATACCTTTGCTGCATGTATCTTTGAAATAATAGGATAAAATATTACTTACATCAATACATAAACAATACTTCTTAAACACATTTTTTTATATATAAAAAGTAAGTGGAATTTATAAACCTAAGTGGAATGAATTGACAGCAGAATGCTAAATCCAAATCTAAAGACTGCTCTTGGAAATCCAAGCCAATTGGCAAGTGTATTATTAGACGAACATTGTTAGTATTCAACAGAAATTCAAAGATTTAGTTGTAGTTGTTCTGGTGACTATAGTGTCCCTTTAAAATAAACATGCCTCTCTAAAACAAATATCTTCGTAAAAGAAAGGTCTTTGTTAATATTTTACAAATGCATGTATTAGAAATTATTTTACATTCACATGCATGATTTTCAAGGCTTTTTGGGGGGTTTTGAGATCAGCACGGTTCAGTTCCTGTCTTTTCTCTTGTCTGCAAGTCAGTAAACTTGCCAGGTATTGACAGGATTCGGCTGCAAATGCAGTCATCTTATTGATTATAATGAGATAATGTTCAGCATGCACTCTTACCATGCATATATTAAAACTGATGCATACATGCACTCTGGCGTAATGTTACACTTTTACAAAGTTCATCCACTACAGGTAGATCCCCAGATGTTGTCGAACTAAAACTCCCATGCTGCTTTGTCATTCTAAATGCATTCTAAAGGCATCATGGGAGTTGTAGTTCCACAACATCTGGGGATCTACCTGTTGGGCAGCCCTGAACTAAAGCATATGTAGCAGCATGATTGATACTGGAGCAGTATTTCTATGTGACATGCTGTTCAACGTGCCTGTGTAATGAAGCACATGGTTGTTTGCAACGTTATAAGAGAATAGTTTTTGATTTTTAACTTAATTAGCCTTTTTATTATTATTATTATTATTTTGGGCATTTCTATAGCACCAACTTATCCCGCAGTACTTTGAAATATTATATACACATTCAAGTGAACATTGTGTAGATCACCAGCTGTGTTGTCTTTTAAATTCTTTGGAGTAGCTGTATAATTCTTTACATTTCTACCATTAAAGGTTTTGTAGAGACATGTTTCCTTTTTGATATGATTTGCGGGCTCCAATTAGAATTACTGTTCTATCAGATTGTGAAACTGATCCTTCTTTTAATTTTGTGCTTGATATGTTGGAATAGTAGAAACCTGACTTCGTCAATGGGTAGGTTATGGGTTCCAAGATTGTAAATGCTGACATGACACACCCACTGACTATCACTGTTTCATCAATCTGGGCAAATATTTAACTTACTTCCACATTATGGGTTGAAACCAAACTTCCGATCATAAAGTCAAAACTAATTTGCAAATAGTTACAGGACAGATGATGTAGGGAGGTTTTATTTTTATGACTGCATCAAAAGCTAATCAACAGAACAGATGGTGATAACTACGCTTGAAATAACTTTGAATACACGTCTTGTTTTTTTTTTTTTTAAATAGGATGACTTCCATCAGAAAATAAAATAATATCTCACTTTCATTCTACATGTTTTAAATGTTTGTATTTATATATTACATTAGATCAGGGTTATCCAAACTCTTTCCCTCCAGATGTTGCTGAACTACAACCCCCATGATTCGGATCATCAGCAATATCCACAGTTTGGATAATCCTGCATTAGATGATAATAATATAATAGCTTATGATAATGATAACGTAGTAAAACATATACGTTCATAATGTAAGGTAGGTTTTAAAATTTACTTTAAGTGTGTATCTATCAGTATTAATAATTTTTGGGTTTTTTTTAGTTTATTTTACAGGTTTTTTCCTGCTACAAGCAGTTTGTGGAACTACAGTGGTGCCTTTATGTAATTCTGATGGATCTTTGGAGAACTGCACAACCGCTATGAGTAAGATAGAGTTATATATCTTTGTTAATAATATGCTACATTATCACTTTAACACATGTAGTATGTAGTACATATTATTTGCCCTCCTAATAATTTTATATGAGCCAACAGGGCATAATATGTGTATATGGATATTGGCGCAAGTAGCAATTTAAGGAAAAAAATTACATTTACATTTTTAAAAAACTAATACTAAAGGTAATATGCAATCCACTTTATTCAGTGCAAGTTGTGGAATTCTGAATCATAACAATAACTATAAAATCTAATGTAATGTTCTTGCTGATTGATGTTCTTTTTGAATCAATGTGTTCTGTTCTAACATGTTCTGTTCTGAAACATGGTGTAAATACTAAAAATGGATCAATCACCATGGAAACTAGTGGAATCAGCAAGCGGTTTCCATTGGTAATTCCTTACCTTTTACATGTTTGCATCACTGTTTAAAACAATTTGATAACTATTCTTCAGTGTACTGTTTTGTTAGGTTTTCACTTTGCATTATAACGCTTTTTTTCTTTAACTATACAATACATATAATACATGATTTGAATTAAAACTCTAACTATAAAATCATATAAATTGTGTCTAATGTGTGTACTTTTTCTTGTATTTTAGTAAAAACAAACAGCAGCCCACGTGCAGTAGCAGCAAGAGTAGGAGCATGTGTAGGAGAAATGGAAAAATTTTGCTGGAATGGCCAGTGCATGTACTTTATCGATCTAGACGAACATTATTGCCGGTAAGAATAAGAAAGTTATGTGACCCTCTATCTACCATCCGGAAATATACATCCAAACTTTAACATCTTTGATGTCTTCAAAAAACTCTCCTTCAAGAATACTATTCTAAAACAGAATACCCACACTCAAGTATCAAAATCAGGACTGCATTAAAAATCACTTAATCTAATGCAGCCATATGATTAAAAACCAGTGCCTTTACCTAAAAATGGTATTGTTTCTTGTTTTTTTTTAATCCGCAATCTCACTAGGGGCCTCAGACTAAGATAAGCAAGAATAAGTGCATAGTAGCAGGTGAAATGGAAAACAATATTGAGTGACATGCCTATGATGGTTCTATGTAACTAAAGTACACTTAAAGGGACACTGTGTTCTTTAAAACAACTTTTACTTAATGAAAGGCTGTTTTGGTGTATAGATCATATCCCCGCAGTCTTACTGCTCAATTCTCTGCCATTTAGAAGTTATATCACTTTGTTTATGCAACTATAGTCACACCTCCCTGTATGTGACTTACACAGCCTTCCTAAACATTTCCTATAAAGAGTCATCTAATTTTTACACTTCCTGTATTACAAATTCTGTTTAATTTATATTTTCTTATCTCTTGCTCTGTTAATAGCTTGCTAGACCTTGCAGGAGCCTCCTGTATGTAATTAAAATTTAATTTACAGAGCAGGAGATAATAACTTTCAAAGTAAGTTTGATTGAAGCAATTTTGTTTTCATGCAGGCTGTGTCCATCATAGCCAGGGGAGGTGCGACTAGGCTGCATAAACAGAAAAAAGTGATTAAACTTCTAAATGGCACTAAATTGAGCAGTGAGATTTTAGAGGCATGAACTATACACCAAAACTGCTTCATTAGGTTAAAGTTGTTTTGGTGACTACAATATTCCTTTAAAGGGCTACTAAAAGTACCATGACCACTTCAGTTTTTTGAAGTGGTCATAGTGTCTGGAGTCTGTAAATGCAGCATTTTGCTTTGAAATGTCTCACATAACAAGTTTAACCCCTAGGCTCCTGGAGATGTAATTCTACCTCTGGAAGCTTCATGGGGTGTCATCGCCCCAGAACTTCAAACTGGCTAATGTCAATTCTGTGTAATTGTCTTTTTTTTTTTTTTTTGCACAGTGTGCCATTTATTGGAGTAGCACTATAAGCACTTCCCAAAAATCTATATTCTTAGATTAAATAATGTATATTTCATATTCTGGGAGCTATGCATTAAACAGTGAGTTGTGTGAATTTATAGTCAAAGCATCTAATTTTTGAAAATGTCATAAGTGTAAATGAAGAGTTTTTCAAACTGTGTGATATTTCAAAATATATGAGATTGTACAAAATACTTCGTTGGTATGTAATTGCCTAGAATGCCAATACAGAGTTATTACGTTTTTCAGTTAAAAAAATAAAAAAATAAGAGAAAATTAAAGTAGTTATCATTTTATCTGTACATAAAATAACACGTGCAATTCTCTTCCACTTTAGGTGCGATAAAGGTTATACTGGCACACGCTGTACCCACACAGAACTTGTCCATCAGCCACTTAGTGAAGAATATTTGGCTCTCACAATCTTTTTAACAGTAATGCTTCTTTTAGCAGTTGCTGTGGCAGCATTTTTTGCATATAAATGGTATGTATTTATTATTTCACTGTACTTATCAAATAAATTATAATACATAGGCTTATTCATTAAAGTGAGAATTGTGGGGAGATCAAAATATCCGAACTTGGACAATTCTCCAAGTCAGCTTTACTTCCAAAGTGGCTACTTTGGCCTTAAATGTAAGGTTAACTTTGAATGCACTTTGAATTTCTGACAGTTCTTGTTTTAGTAAATAGTTTACATTTAGTGGATAATCCTTTTTTTTTACTTTAACTCCAACATCAACAGCTATGATCACAGCTTGACTATGTTACCCTTTATCTATTTTTTTTCTGTTTTGCCCTTTATTTGTAACTTATTTGTAATTAAATTTGCAAAAGTGTTTAGTGAACATATCCGTTCAAAAATTCACTTTTGTGTTTTGCCAGAAGAAGACATTGATATCAGTCATTCCCTAATTTAGATTTGATATTTTTGGATCAGCTTTTCAAATGATGTAATATTTTTAGATAAGCTTTTAAAATTATTTTTTTCAAAATATTAACATATCAAAACTTATATCACATATAAAGTCATCAATATATAGATATAAAAACAACATGCTATAATAAAATTATTTTTACAAATTTGAAATCATGTTAAATGTTTATCAAAAAATATTAAATCATTTGAAAAGCTTATCCAAAAAAATATTAAATCAAGGCCCTTATTGGGATAGCACTGGGGTAATATTTTTCTACAAAACTTCATTTATTTTTATTGTAAATGCATTAATCTTTAATAAATTGCCTAAACTATATTCTAGTTAAAATATTAATATTTCTGTTTTTACAGGCATGTATTTAATTGTTTAATGCATCTGATGGTTGGGTGGATCGGTGAGGGGTTGGGTGGATGAATGCATGGATGGGTGGTTAGATATTTTTGCATTTCTTTTTTCTGAGTGTGAAATGTTAACTTTGTTAATTATGTACAGTTTAAGCATATCTAAATATCAAGCTCTTTTTTAATAGTATTTCCTTAATTTGTATTTTAGGTATAAAAATAAGAAACTAAGGCAGCCAATCAAGGAATACAAAGAAGTCAATACACAAAATATATAGAGATGCTACCTTCAAACCTTCAATCAAAAGAAAATGAAAAAAAAATCAAAAGTGTTCACCCTCATTTGTAGTAGGGGTGCAGAAACCTGGTTCCTCAAAAGTGTCTACAACTTCGAAAGCGAAAGGAAATAGCTCGGTTCTAGTATGCTTGTGTGGAAAGATCCTTCTATTTGTGCCCTTTCGCAGCAACTTTTAAACCTTAATATGATCATTTTAAGACTGAGAAATACATAAGTAAGGTCAAAATATTGATGTGAAAGGTAACAAATAAAATATATTCTTGCACACAACTGGAGGAGTGCTGGACATATTTTTTATTATTATTTTTTTTATTGTGCCTTCTATCTAAGTCAAGGACTTTCAATTCCAGTCCTCATATTCAGAAGAACACAGCAAGTTTTAAATATATTCTCACATGGACACATATGGATGGACAATGGAGTAATAGAACATCTCCTATATGAAGATGAATTAAGAGCGGTGATTGTGGATTTATTGTCATCTATGTATGAAAGAATTTAAATTGAGATAATTATTATTTTAAGTCTGATTTTTTTTTATTTTTTTTTACTTGCTCAATATTTATACCAAGTAATATTTCCAAGGGAGTAAACAAAGGTCAATGAATAGTGTTTTTTTTCCTAATTAATGTTATTAAACAATTTTGCATTGTTGTTATGTTTGTTTTTCTGACCATAGTTACTGTACACATCTTTCCATGTGCAGATCAACTGTATGTAAATATTTTATTAAAAAAAAAAAACACCATTTTGTAACTTAAAAATTTATATTTTTTATTGAATATTTATGTTTTGTCTTATTTGTCTTTATAAATGTATTTAAGATTTTAGTTTTCTTCCTAAAACTATAAATATGCATCTTCTGTTGCTGTATAAAATTTGATGTATCACAACTGGAGAAGGCTTGGAGAAAGTCAGTCATTTGAGGCCATTTGGGTTTGCCTATTTGCCAAATTCACTGTTTACAGAGTTATATTTGATTTGGTCCCCATTAATTTCAGCAAATTACTCAGTTACTCTGGGGGCTATGTTGCCAAACCTGAATTATCAACATTTAAGTTGAGCAACTTAGGTGAACTGCCAGTGTAATATGCATTGGATAATAGAGGGTCCAACATACTCGAGAAAAATGAGCTCAAATAGTATGGATAGGTCAGCCTTAATTATGTATGTAAACACTATGATAAGCTTGAGACATCTAAGTGAAAAACATACCAGATTATAGAGCATATGAGGACACCCTTCTGCCTCTTAGAAAACCTGAAATGTAAAATGTGATTAAAGAATCTTTCTAATAAACAGACAATGCATTATGTAAGATTAAGGTCTGTTCTTCCATTTATGTCACTGTTATTTTATAATATCTCTGGCTTTTAAAGTGATTGATCATAACAGAGTTCCATTTTGGTAAAACTTTAATTTAATCATTGCACCAGCCAAATAGGTAGAATGTATACAGATGACCAGATATTTGGAAATAGGAAATGTTATAATCTATTCCATTTTTGGCTCTGGTTATACAATAGTTGTATGAAAGTGAGTTTGCACCTGACCCAAATGGATTGGTGACTTGTTCCACAATGAATGCTCAAAATTACAGTAAAGGATTACAATTGGACTTTGTCTTGTTATGTATCAAAATGTCATATGATACATTATGAAAACCTGTACAGTGATAGAACACATTGTTAAAAAAACACGTTGTTGCAGGATGCTGTAATTTAAAATGCAATAGATGACTGCCATTGATTTTGTTTAGGAGTCATTATACTGTTTTGATGATTGTTTCAGCCGCCATGAAGGCTATTGTACTCATTCAAGTAAAACAGTTGTGTTAATGCTTAATGGTGCTTCATGGATTATCCCCACTGAATTACTTGTCTTGTGTGTGGTGTGTGCTTTATTTAAATGTTGCACTTCTTGATGTAATACATGTGAAATGTTAAAGTATTCTCCTGACGCAGCAATTGTTTTTTCAGGGAACAGTCATTTAACTACCAAATGTAAAACAATAAATGTTTTGTTTTTTTCTATGCTAAAGTGTCTCACATCTTTACTTATTTTTGCCTAGATAGAAAAAAAAATGAGAATTTAATTTTTAATACAGCATCGAACAATAGATTGATCTTGTGTTCTCATTCAAAGCCCATGTCAGGTGTAGAGTTGTGTAATATATCACACACACACCAACACTATTACTGTTGTGCATAATCTCAATATGCTGTAGTGAGACCACAAACATAAAACTCCTCACTGGCTTATGCAAATTCTAAATTTACTGTTGTGCACCATCGACATATATGAAGAAGGACTTTAGGAAAGTCTGTCTTGGGAATAGCAATTCAACAAAACAAATTCAGTATTAATCACTCCACCATCGCGCGCACGCACACACACCAGCACACACACACACTTCCTCTTGTTCACTATGTTCTCTATACCTTTCCTGTGCTGATACTTTCCACCTAGAGTTACTCAGATTTCATGGTATTTTTATATGCCTATTTAGACACAGAACAACCTCATATTCTGTACATCATTTAGTGTCTACATCTGCTAACATAGGGACATTCATTTTAACCTACCTTACTACACTCCACCGTCTCTGACCTCAAAATGGTCACATGCTGCCTTCGCTCTCTGCTCAGTTGACCAATATTTGTTGGCTATATGGCTCCCATGCTTATTGGTACTTATTACATTGATACTTAATACATCACTACTAATCAAATAATATACTTTGTGCATATATATATATATATATATATACATATATATATATATATATACAAAGACAGGAGTGTCTTTGGTTTAAGAAATCTTTCTTAGATGGAGCTTTAAGTAAGGCTATGAACATCTGGAGAACATGTTCTACTACTACAAAACAAAAAAGATGAGTCTTTGCACAAACTATCAATGGGGTGTCTGCAAATATTCAGGACAAAATGCACTCTAATTGAAATACTAAAAATAAAACCTCTCATCCAATTTCCTCGTAACATACCCCTCTGATATGTACAAGGAATCCCCAGATATCCCAGTATGTAGTGATCCAGTTAGGATTAGCTGCCTGGGACGTGTCCTACGTGGGCACATGATCCCATGAAAAACTTTCACACATCTTTTAACAAAATGGATATTCAGTATTAGGCAATGAATTTCATGTACATCACATTATAAACAGAATATTGTGCCCATGTGGGTAACTTTTCATTGAACAGATGACAAATGAATTATAGGAGAGCAAAAGAGCACATTGATCATTGATTAGAACAGCATTCTGGGATAGACATTTGGACAATCCAGTGGTGTTCAACTTCTTAGAAACAGATCGCTATTTACCTTTAATGAAATTAATCACCATTGAGCATTGAGAAGACTACTGCTGATGGCGAATTGAAGAACACGACCCCTACCCTCTGTCAATTTTTGCTTCTGAGTTTGGTGAGTTTGTTTATCATTGATTAGAACAGCATTTTGGGATGGACATTTGGATAATCCAGTGGCGTGCCACTCTTCATAATCAGGTCACCAATTACCTTCAATACAACTTATCACCATTGAGCATTGAGAAGACTACTGCTGAAAGGGAATTGGGTCATATGACCACTACCCTCTCTCTATATTTTCTGCTTAGTTTGGTGAATTTGTTTTTATTGTTAGGGATCTGAGTAGGGGGAGAGTGCCAGATCATCTCACTAGTTTCTACTTTGCTCCAATAAATCTGCCCACTGGATTGAACGTGAGTGCCTAGACCATCATTACTTTTTTGCAAATCACATTGTGAAGATTGGCCAACCTCAGGCCCGGTTGCACCCTGGGATCCAGGAGAGTTCAGTATCCATATTGATCTCACTAGTGCCAGCATGAACCTACACTAGAAAAAACATCACAAGTCTGTATAACCTAGGGAAGCAGCTGGACAGGAAAGTACTAGGGCAACAGCAGTTCCACGTTTGCTTTGTCTGGTTAGGCACAGTTGTCACCACCTCCACTGCTACTATCACCACCCTTGGAAAGAGCAAGGTGGATGATGAGGATAGTGCCATTAGTTGACAAAGGCAGGTTGGACAGGAACATCACCCAGTGAATAATAGAACAATTAAATAAGAAACTTACTCTTGTCTAGCTACTGCTAGTGCCACTTACATCCTCTTTGATTCACTGATTTAGAATTGTTTTAATGATTTGTGAGTTATTCATTATTTTTTCATTTCTTCTACGTGATGTATTATATTTGATTCACACATGTAACAGTTTACTGCACAAGCGACCTCTGCCTGCACTGTGTGACAGGACTTTTTTTTAACTCTTTGTGGGAAAAAAAAGGAATTCTAAAATGTGGTGGTGGTGGTGGGGGTGGTAGTTTAAATTTTTTTAAATGCTTTTAATTGTAGTGGTATGGTTTAGCCCTGCCTTGCTGAGTCTTGTGGTGTGACTATGCCTGTGACTTTAAGTTCCGCAGTAAAACTAACAGAGCAGTAAAAGATGGTCACTCATGTAGCAGACTAGATGTCTTGGAAAGCTTTGTTCTTCTCAGGTTGGAATGGATGAGTTGGTGGTCAATTGCAAAGTGACCACTTACTTTCTCCTTTAGTTTTTTGTAAAATTCTCTTTTTTCAGATTAAAATAACTCCTGTTGCTTCTGCTGTCACTCCCAATGTTTTAAATTGCCTTTCATTGTAGTGTTTTCACCCTGCCTGGATGAGTCTTGCATTGTGGCTACACCTACTTCCTCCGCAGATGCAGTTGGGAGAAGCTAATAGGGTACTGTTTTTTTTTTTTTTAACGCACTGAAGGTGGTCAATTCGTGTTCTCAAGAATCAGCTTAAAAGATTCAGTGCATAGTTCACTAAAAGTGAAATGTAGACGCATTGTCTAAATGTCAGTTCAGAGTCTTCCATGCCACCGTCCAAATGCCTCACAAGCCAGCACTGCTTCTGTTACAATAGAGCTTATTAGGGAGTTCATAACTTGGAACTGAATATGTATTCAACAATTATCTGTATATTTATGTATGCATCACAAAAATTTATTTGCACCCTCAGCGTGAAAAATATACACAAAAAATCCATGTTAAAATATCTAAATATCAAAAGAGCATGAATATATACATGCCCTGTATTCTCAATAAAATGAGGAATATATGTTGAAACAAACAGCACTGCAAATTCATTGTAATAGGATTTACCTTCCTCTGGCTAATATATTTTCTAAATAAAAACTCAAGTCTCAATATTTATGTTTCATACTGGTGTTAATTTGTTCTTACATGTACTGGTTCTTATATATGTTAGTTTTCTGTATCTTTTGAATTGTCAAATATGATCTCACGTGACTTTCTTTTGCGCAGTAGTCAATTTTCTCCACAAGGGGTCTACAATGTACTATGTATTACTTTTTTAAAGCCATTTACATTATGGAAATTGATGAGTGTGCTAAGAAAATGTTTTTAATAATTTTGTTGCATTATCATAATTGAATGTCAAGTCTAAACTTTACAAAATTCAAAAACACAAATTCAAGCTGTCTTACAATGAGCATAAGGGTCATGCCTTTCAATTAAAGAAAAACATAGACATGTAACATAAATATATTTTTATTATTTAGGATCTGGAAAAAGTACAATTTTAGGTTCAGTATAATTTCTGAAAATAAAGCATGTTTTATGCTTTTTTAAAAGAACTTTGAAAAGAATTAAAAAAACATGCAAAAGTTTATTAAAGCAACTACTTTTTCTACCAATCATGCTACTATGCCACAGTAAAATAAATCTATACAATTTTGACACAAAGTCAGGATTTAATTTAATAAGCTTTCAGAAAAACTCTCCAAATTATTTAGCTAGATAACTTACCATTAACTTCAATAGTGACCTCTGTAGATAACTCTTTTGGAAAGTTTAGGCTTCTCAATGCAAAACAAAACTTAAATATATGCAGAAAATTATATACTTAATATATATATTGGATCAAAAGAACAAAATATAACATGTCTATGTGTATTGGATCAAAAGGACAAAATAAAACATTTCTATGTTTTGGCCCTAAGACCCAGTCATATACTTGATTAAGGCCTTGGGGCTGGAATGTATATTTTTGCCTTTTTGATCCAATAATGTTTTGCCTTTTGCTTTACAATTGGTAGTCTATGCACTCCTCCTTCTGAATATACCTTGGGGAATGATGGTCCTTATCAAAGTGCTCCCGTGTCTTAGCCCTATTTACATAATACATCTTGTGTGTGTGTTTTGTATTTGTGTGTAGCACACTTTTTTTAACTTGTATTTATTAAGTTTTCAGTATATGAAGTAATACAGTGATCTGAAGCACAGAAGCGCTATACAAATAATCATAAAGATGTGATGGGAACACAGGACCATTATTTAAAAAATGCATTTGTAAAAAGGTGTTACATACAAGCAGTGAATGGAGTACTATAGTATAAATACTTTTTCAGGTGCAGTTTGTTGATCTGCTCTCCAAAACATTAAAGGGACACTATAGGCAACCAGCCCACTTCAGCTCATGGAAGTGGTCTGGGTGCAGTATATCAGCACCCTTAACCCTGCAAATTTAACTTTTGCTCACCTAAATGCCACTGGACATCCTCACTGTATGCATGGGGACATCCAGTGTAACCCAAAACCCCATAGGAAAGCATTAAATAATGCTTTCCTCTGAGGAAATAGTAATGCGAGAGCGGCCACTGCCGCATTAGGAGAGAAGGCTGACCCAAGCCAGCACGGAGGGACATTGGCGCTGGACCCAGGTAAGTGACAGAAAGGGTTTTGAACCAGTTTTTTTTTCTGGCACTATAGTTTCCCTTTAAATAGACTGAGTTTTCTCTGCATAAGCGCTTCTATTTGACCTTAAGGCATACAGTACAGTTTCCCATAAATAAAAAAGTATGACATGAAGGAAAATAAAAATTTACTAACATAAAATAACTTAAAAAATTCAAAATTAACCAACGGTGCGAGCAGGGCTACCTCCCCCAGCACAGACCACCACTATCCTAGCAGAGTCTCAGAGATATCC